GGGAGGTGGCCGCCCTCCTCGGCCTCGGCGCACCGGAGCCGCCCGTGGACCTCTACGCCATCGGGTGGGGGCGCGCGCCGCCCCACGGCGGGTCCCGGGGAACGGCGGGGGCGGGGGGGGGGATTCGGCCGGGGGCTCCTCCTCCCGTGCTTCCTCCCACCCAGCCTCCCTCGACCCGGAGGGTCCTGGCGGCGCTCGGGGTGTCGCCGTGGGGCGGGTGCGTGACGGGCATCTCCGCTGCTCAGCTTACAGGAGGTGAACTGCCGGATCCTGAGCTTCATCTCCGACCTGGCTTTCGAGGACCCCTGGACGGCCTCCCTGACGGCAGCGCTCGCCCCGCTGGGCTACGTCCGGGTAAGGGCCCCTTCCAGGCTCCGACGGGGCCCCCGGGCGCCTCTCGTCCCCGAGCACGGGAGCCGCCGCTTCGCCAGTGGGGCTCCGCCGGGGGGACCGGGCTGCTGGAGCGGACGGAGCTCTCGGAGAGCCTCCCCCCGGGTCCCTTCTGCCTGAGACGGCTCCGTCTGAAAGGCTCCTGTGGGGTGTGGGGGGTTGTGTAGCCCCAAATGGGGTTTTTGAATCCACAGGTCTGAGGGGCCTTGTGCTGTGGGGTTCCCGCACAGATCTTGGCCGTGGGTTCCATTTACTACAAAGCTGGAGGGTGCTTATCACCCCCCCCCCCATTGCAATCTCTGGGCATCGCCAGCATTGGGCATTTGCTGGCAGCCGAGTGTGGCAGCCGGTGGGTGGGAGAAGCGCCCGCCTGCCTGGCTCAGGACTGCTCCCATTCTGCCATTCTCAGGTGTCTTCCATCCGCATGCAGGGCATCCTCCTGCTCCTCTTCTCCAAGCAAGCCCACCTGCCCTTCATCCGGGGTGTGCGGAGCCAGTTTACCCGCACCGGCCTGCACGGCTACTGGGTGAGCTGGTTCACAGGGACCTTGCCAGGCCTCCGGTCGGTTAAAGCCGCAGGTACAGTAGATGCAGGAAAAGCAGAGAGGCCGAATTCTGCTGTGGCCAAGCCCCTCCACGCACGCACGCACGCTCGCCTTCGTTTCTTGCCTGAATGTTCTTTGCACGTTTCCATCTTTCTAATGTGGAGGCAGGCAAAATGGCAAACCTCACACCAAGATAAGAGCTAACACCCAATAACCAGTGTTTAATTTGTAACGCTAATTGCCAAAGGAAAACCCACAAAGCTGGCTAATAAAGAACCCGCTGACAGCTTTCAAGCCCCAGTAAAATCTCTAGCGACGGAGATGCTCAGGTAGGGAGCTCCACGTTTTATTGGTTGAGAACACCTGTTTCCTGCTCCAAGGCACCAAAGCAAGTCACACCGACACAAACGGTGTGAAATTTAAATTCCCCGAAGCAGGCATTCAGAGACCTGAATCCAGCCTTGCCTCTACTGGGCAGCCAGTGGAAGCCCTTACTTCCTGCTGGAACTCCTGCTGGGTGTTGGGGAGCATCTCCTCCTGGAGAACCCTCCCAACGCCTCCCCGCCTCCCCCCCCCCNCCCCCCCCCCTGGGCGAACGGGGTGCGACCCAACCTGACATGTGAATCCAGATTATTGGCCACTGGCGGCTGTCAACAAAGGGATGAAGAAAGGCCAGAGGGGCTGTGTCCTTGTTCCTGATGTACAGGTAGTCCTTGACTTACAACGAAAGGCCAAAACAAGACAGTTGTTAAATGAATTGCACCACATTTTATAAAATTGGGGGGCGGGGAGTGATGCGGCAACTGTCGTAAGAACTTGCTGGTTGCCAAGCTCCCAAAATTTGTTCACGTGGAGATGCTGCGATGGTCACAATCATGATAGCTGCCCCCAAGTCACTTTTTTCCATGCAAAATGTGAAGGTCATTAAATGGATGGTTGTAAGTTGAGAACTCCCTGTATTTTGCAATTTGTTCCTTTGTGAGTCTGTCCATCCTGTAGGCCGGCCTTTAATCTGGCAGAGGGTCAAAAAACCTGCCCCTCCTGTGCCCCAGGGAGCCCGGGAGTCTGGGGGCAACCACAGCCTCTTGTCTCGCAGGGCAACAAGGGAGGGGTCTCCATCCGCCTGTCCCTCTACGGCCACTCCGTCTGCTTCCTGAACTGCCACCTGCCGGCCCACCAGGAGAACGCCAAGCAGCGCCTGGACGACTTTGAGCACATCCTGGAGATGCAGCAGTTCGAAGAGAAGACCTTCCCCTCCGCCCTGGACCACGAGTGAGTGGGCTCCCCAGGGGGGGGGGTCCTCCTGCCCGGCCCAGCATGCCCCACTCCCCACGGTGGCTCAGCTGCTGCTCTTCTCGTGAATGGTGCCCGGCCCCCTTGGCCTCGTGGGGGGGGGGACTCCAAGGAGCAGCAGAGGGGGGCGGGGGAGAGGGTGGAGCTGGCACAGATAAAGCAGGAATGAAACGGATGAGAAAGGAGTTTCCAAGAGTCCAGAAAGGGTGGAGCCCTCCGGTCACTTGGCTGCCCTCCAGAGCTGCCCTCAGGTAGCCGTCGGCCGCGGAGGTCAAGAGAAAGGGACGGTTTTGAAAACCGAACAGAACGATTGCAAAGGGGGCCCCACATTTTGCTTTATACAAGGTGACCCCTGTTATTCCAGGCGCTTTTTACCTGCATTTTCACCGCAAGCCAACTCAGAATGGCTTCCAAATAGTTCTGGCCAGATCGGAGAACCGCCCGTAGCGTTGGCTGGNTGGCAGCTGCTCAAATACTGGAAGATGCTATCATGTCACCCCCTAGTCCTTTTTGTTAAACTACTAGACGGACCCAATTCCTGCAACAGCACTTCATGCGTTTTAGGCTCCAGCCACCCCCTAATCCTCTTGCTCTTTCTGGGGTCTCAACATGCTTGTTCCTATTGTGGTGGCCAAATAGACGCTTGCCCCCTCTTCCCCGTCCCAACAGGGCGGGAGGCAAAGGTCCCAAAGGCGCTGAACGCCACTTGCACGGTGACCCGTAGCTCCCCCTCCCACCCCCCATGGATATCGCACAGACAGTGGGCCCCCACCCGAGGTGTGTGTGTATTATTAACCCTTAAGCAGACGGAGCCCCTGCTCAGGGCACCACAAACTTGAGAAAGGAAACGCCCAGTGAAGCTTGGCTCCGTGTGTACAGGAGGCGCGCCAAGATTTGCCAGCGCTCAGGGCACCAGGGAGCCTTAATCCGGCCCTGCCACCCCCTTTCTGGCTCCGGGGAGGGACGCAACCCAGGTCCCGCACGTGCACAGAGGAAGCTTGGCTTGAGAGGACCGGTTCCGGGGGGGCCACCCGGCGGTTGGGGGCCGCTGGGGTGGAAAAGCCTCGCCTTCTCTCCGGTCCGCCCTGCAAGGCACGCGGGACAGCCGGCACTGGCTGGAAGGACGGCGCTGCGGCCGCGTTCTCAGGCCACTGGATGATGAACGGTCAGTAAGCGAGGACGTGCAGGGGTTGGCTGGGCTCGCGGGGCGCCTTGGGTGGGGCCGCGCACGGAGCCGCCGGGCAGGCGGCGGGAGGCCGGATCTCGGACTGACCGGTGGTCGGCCCAAACCGGGTCCCCCTCGGGGAAAGAGCGGAGGAGGCGCCGGGCCACCCCTCTCCCCCCGTCGTCCGGGCTCTCCTCGGGGCCCGCCTTCCGAGGGGCCCCGGCCTCTTCCCCGCCCGAGGGGAAGGCCGCCACCGGGGACCCCGCGAAGGCGGAAGCGGCGCCCCGACCGGGCTCCCGGGGCCGCCCCTCCCCTCGGCCGCCGTGCG